CTCTCTCTCTCTCTCTTTTATGTGCTTGCGTGTGTTTTTTATTTTTTATCTTTTTTTATCACAAGGCATGTATCCTGTTGCAAGTCAACGGATTGAACGGATGGATGGATGGATAGACGAAGCGGAGTCAAGAAAGAAGCCAAACAGTACAGTAAAGTAAGGAGTACCACACGATACAGTGCTGTAGTAACAATGTAAACTATTCCTCAAGTTCCAAAACCGGCCCCCAATCATGATGCCATCCCCAAAACTCGAGCCAAAGTTAACCGATACTGTAATACCGGAATGATACCTTAAATACAATGCATGAACCAAGCCCAACGAACCCACGCACAAGCATAAAACAGTAAGAAACCCGTCTCCCCCTGGCATAATGGTTACACGCATATCATACACCCCCCGGCACCCCCAGCCCTTCCCCACACACATGATAAAACCAACCCCGTAACAACCCCCGAGTGAGCCCCCATGACCACCACCACCCGACCCCACATCCCACTTTTCCACGCGATACGACACACTACCGTTACAGTAAGTTACAATAACTACCCTAACCCACAACGCACGGACCCCACTTTCCTCACATCCATCCATTCCATCCATCCCATCGCCATCGCCATCGCCATCGCATTGCAACGCAACCCCAATTCCAAACACCGCACCGTGAACCCAACCCCCCCCCCCCCCGCTCGCTAAGGAAAGAACGCAAGGAAAGAAAGGAGGAAATGCCAGATATGAACCCCCAGTACGAATTGCCGCCCGAAGTAGCGGTCGAGATAGCGGGGTACATTCGGTCCGGGTTGTTTGCGCCGTTGGTTCGTCCCCCTCCCCCTTGCGCTTACACTTCTACCCGCGATGCGGGAGAGGGGAGGTATGCAGGGCTAATTGGGGGGTTGTTATTGTTGCTGTAGGCGGCGAATGTTGGTAGGTTGACGAGTGAGTGTGAAGAGAACTTGTGTGGGGTAAAGGATGGGTTGCAGGATGTAGGTTTCTATTTTTATTTCTATCTTGTATCTTGTATTTTTCATGGTCTGCTTGTGGAGGGGAGAGAATGTGACGTTGATTTGGGGGGTATGTGGGGATATGGTAGACGCAATCACAGATATCGAATATCATAGAGCCGACGGCGGAACGGTTGATTCCCATCGCGACGGAATTGAAGAGTGTGTATAGGCAGATTGATCTACTCGAGGTTTTCCCCTCCATCGCCTCTGCAAATCACAGACCGCAGGCTAACGACACAAAATGGTAACTCCTTTTTATATATATATGTAAAAAGGTCCTAATATCCCGCATCTCAACAACCATAAAAATCACCAGTGCAAAACTCGACAGCACAGAGTCACTAATCCGCCGAGAAGAGCGCTCTCTTAACGACAAGAAACCTCCCCCTCTCTGGCCATCCCTGGAAAAAACGCCCACCTTCCGTGCGAGGGATTACGTTGTAGACAGCCGGCTCATCGATACGGAGTCGGCAAGCTAGTGGGACCCGCCCGCTTGAGCAAGACCGACGATCGTTGCTTTCTCCTCTTTGTCGAAAATGTTCACACCTGAACGGAGCGCACGGATAAGTAATGGCAGAGAGCGATCGGTGAAGTCCGATGCCGAGCGAAGGGTTTCGAGATCGTCGGCGTGTTCGCGGGTGATGTAGGTCATGTAGTATTCTTGGAATTTTTCGTCGGCACAGGAGTCGTGGAGGTCTCGCAATTGGGGTGGGATTTTGCCGTTCTGCGTTTTTTTTGATTCATTTCTTCATTAGTTAGGTGTTTCCCCTTTCCTCATTGGTTTTAATGGGTGGGGTAGGCAACTGGGTTTGGGTACTTTAGAAAATTTCGCTGCGGCATCAACCTCTGCGTCAGAGTCAGAAGCTTCAACTATCATAGGCTGGTTCTTATTGTTAGCCATATCATTTATTATTTTTTGTTACCAATTTCACAAGGGGCTGGAGATACATACATCCTCTGCCTTCTCTTCTCCTTCATCTCGAGTTTCCACTAACTTTCCAACAACCTCTTTTTCACTCTCGCTACTACTACTGCTCTCGGAGCTGGAGGAAACTATCGTCGCAGTTAACCGCCGTCTTCTCTCCCGATCGTCGGGGAAAGCATACCTTCAGTGCGGGCCCTCTTTCTCCTCTTGCGCTTCGCACTCTTATCTCTGACATCCTTGCGTTTTGTCTTCGTCGAACCCATGATGATGGCCGTTGCAGAGGTGTTTGCCCGAAGGTCTGGTAAGACGACAGAAGACTTTTTTGGAGCCGCAGGACCACCGCAGTGTGCCAAGACGGATATTTCCGAGACGCGAGAAAGACCAAAGCTGCACTTTGCCCTGCCCCCTGATACAAACTCAATCCCCCATATGATACCGGACAACATCATAATTATCATACCGCTGAGCACTGACCGACCACAAATACCGTATCATACAATAAGTCGCACAAACAGTATGGTAGAAGCGTCGAGTATACGAGCCGGTATGATTGATGCCCGTGCAGCTACTGTACGGTACTTGATCGAGTGCAGGCAATGTACTCGAGTACTCGTACCGTACTGTGTCCCATTTATTGCGCCATATCTCACACCGAGCTGTTTCTCCGGGTTGCCGTGTGGAACTCTAGAAACTGTTTCACCCAGCGTCGGCGATATTTTATCTGGATTATATATCCGAACGGGCAAGCCGGTAGATTACCAGGAACGCCGGAACCACATTATTTGAGCGCTATCCGTTCCTCAGGATACAATACCAGTAGTAGCCTATCATAAGGAGAAAGGGGTATTCTAGGGACCTGACATTCCCGCCCATATTCCCGTTCTGCCTTGAATCTGCCAGTTTCTGGAGGTGACTTTAGTGTGTTTCTTTTGCGGAATATACGCCATTTCCGCTCCCAAACAGACCCCCATACCCGCATGTCAGACCCTAATGTTGCATGGCTATTTCCGGTACTTGTACACATAACCCTACTACGCTCCACTGAAGCGCAAGGGAAGTAAAGATTCCCCACAATCCGGATCAATGGGAGTGTGCCAATGCGAGTGACCTTGCACCCAAACGCTCAAGCCTCAGCGTCCCCAAAACCTCGAGTGACTCTTATCATGAAGCACAGCGGCATGAATGGACGGGGAACAGAGACGTATGCCCAACATCGAGCTTCCGCGGGTGCCGCTGCCACGCTTAAATAGGACCCAATCGGAGAGATAACCGGCCCAGACAGGGTATAAGCACACCATGCCGGTATGAAGTGCTTCTTCTTCCCAAAACGCGTATTATAAAGGCGTCATACGCGGGATACTGCTCCCATGACAGAGCCGGAAGATGAGTCCCCATGTACAAGTAATAGACCACTCAGTGATCTATCCCGCTCTCCTCGTGGGAAGAGGAAAGGACGCGCTTGAACAGCGCCCTAGATTGGTCTCTCGATTCGGAGAAAGCGTGAAGATGTAAAACCCGACATGGCCTCAGATTCCCAAGCAGGTTTCAAAAAAATTTCCGAGACCCGCCAGCAACGGGATTACCGGTACCTGTACTCGACATGATAGACCGCGGAGGTACGAGCCCTGATATTCGCAAATTTCATTAACTATAAGACATTTGCTGATCTCAGAGCACTCGAGTAGGGAGCACAACGCCCAAGTTGCTGTGAACACTGTATGGTGTGCAAATGATTTTCTGAGCGTATCACGGACAGCATCGAGCCCTTGGCTTCGCATGTTGTACTATGCTAGTGCAGCACTCGAGCACCGTATGAAAATCTAAGTTGCATCTTCCACCTTATCACGGAAAATGGCATAGGTAAGATAAACGCCGCTGAGGAAGGCGGTCGATAACAATTCATGAAAGCCGGGTTCATCATGTAGACCTTGGGGATCTTTGTCGATCCAGCTTTAGGTCATCCCCTGTCGCTGAGGTGTGGCTGGCCAAAATCATCCACGGGATGCCGCCGTAACTCACTGTCCCCAGGTCAAGGGGGTTCAAGGCGGAGAAGCAGGCCGGGAGGGCTTCTTCACGACTCAAGGAGAATGGGCGGGAATGGACGAGAAGGAGGACCTCTGGGAGGGAAGGGTGTGTCCTTCCGTGCCGGTAGACTGAGCACGGGCTTTGAGGAGTTGAAGATTTAAACACTGCCCCCTTTTACTACTCGTAATGGTACAGTGTGTCGGTATCCGAATGTGCTGTGCGGTGATCCTTGTAGCATATCGTAGTGTATCACACTCGAGTGCCGGTATCATAGGAGGTATATGAATTCATCAGAGGGCTGTAAATTGCACGTCGCGGATTGGAGCTACAGGTACAGTACTGTACTCGTCCACACGCCAACTGAGATCCTTTCCATCATCCCTTGCTCCAACTCGGCACTGTAGGAATCCTTTTGAGCTGGTGCTACAATCCACGTGACGAGATATCATACCGGTGGGAGAGGAAAAAACGGGAACTACTGCACTCATAGCATCTCACTCGAAACGGGGTTTCTTTCCACTGTGCTATGCTGTACTGTACTGTACTGTACTGTACGGTGCCAGTATCCCTGGCACGGGAGGGAAATTAAAATATCCTTTCCAACGCACGGACATTCCTGAAACTCTTCCCCTTCCCTTTCCGGACCGCTCCCTTCTTTTCGTTCTCTTTCCCCCCTTCCCTTTTCTTCCCCAAAGGCTCCTTCCATGCCTGCATGTCTTGGTTCCTCGCGATGGCCCTTCTTCCTACACGCTAGCCTGGCTCCCCCCTTGGGTTCCCTTCACCAGCAGAGGAGAGGAGAGGAGGGGGGGGGAAAAAAAAGAGAAGGAATTTGCGAGATAGGGAAAGGGAAGCAAACTTGTGGTATGGATGAGCTACCGGTATCGGAAGGGGCAGAATAGGAGAACGGAATAAAGTATGATAGAGAAAAAAAAGTGAGGGGAACAAACATCCAGATGCGATATCTATACGGGGTTTATCTCCATATGGAGGTCAGAACTACAGAAGACACCTATCGTACACAGAACAAACAGAGTAAAGTTCGTTAGCCCATCCCGCTCCCTCTCTCACTCTTTTTTTGTCCCCCTTCTCCCCTCTCCCCTCACCCCTATCTCTTTTCTCCCCACTTCGCTTCCCCTATCCATATTTTCATTTTCTTTATCCTCTCTCTACCCTCGCTCTACCATCCCTCTCTTCTCCGGTAATCACACCCCAATATCCAACCTATCGGCGCATTTCTACCTCAACTACTACGACCGACCAGCGCAATGCCCACCGCAAGTATGGATTCTCACGAAGTGACGACAAGGCTGCATGTTGACGAGTTGATCCTGGAATACCTGCTATGGTTCTGTACCTCTAGCCTCCTGAAAGAGCGACGGCTGCGATTGGGTGATTGTGTCGGGAAGCAAGAGTGGACCGACGCAGCGAAATCGGCCGATATGGGGATGCGTCTGGTCAATTGTAATCGTCCTCTCCTGTCCCCCTCGGTTCCCTTCCTTCCTTCCATACTAATGAGGACTGTGCTTGTGCAAATGATCAGCCTTCAGCCAAACCTTCAAACGTCTCCACCCCAATTCTATTCTCCCGGATAGCATCGCCCTTCGTCAGCGCATATGCCGTTTCACGACAGTCTTGCTGCGCAGACTCGATGCCACCAGTCCGACGTTCACCCGAGCGTCGCAATCCAGCGCGCGAACACGCGCCTGGCTCTCACGCAAGCGCGCCAGCAACGTCATCGAGGACCTGACCTCATCATCACCACCATCTAATGTTCCTATCGCATCCGAATTCTCGCAAACGCCATTTCCACCGTCAAACCTCCGACGCAATACGGAAGAGATGCGCAGCCAGATGGGGTTCTCTGGCATGCCAGCCGTGCATCAGGTGTACTGGGGAAATATTTCTCTCCGCGAGGGATTGAGGGAGTTCATGATCCTCAGCAGTTGGACTTGTGCTTTCAATGATGAGGTCAGCACTCTGTGGATGGAGACTGCAACAAACTATATGGTTCAGGGTGTCCTCGAGGCATACCGATGCGAGGGCGCGAAGGGGATCGATGCGCTGAACGAGTGCTTTTCCTGGGGGCCCACGGCCAATGGTCAAGAAGGTTTAGATGACGATGAAATCGTGGTCAACGAGATGTTTGGTGGCGATAGTGGGAGTGTCGGAGTGTTGTTCGAGAAGATGAAGACTGAGGCACTTTTGGAGGTATGCTTTTTCTTCCCCTTGATCCTGGCAAATTACCCTTACGTGTATGACTGATGGGTGAGCGGGAAGGTCTTACCACCGGTCAATACATCTTTAGAAACGCACATGGACCAATTAGCGGAAAAACACACGTGGGCGGTTTTCGAAGAAACCTTGGTGGGCGGGTATCTTACGGCGGTAATATCTGCGCAGCCGTCGCCGGTTTTATTACAAGTATTCATTTTCCGGTTTTCCCAAGATAGTGGGTGATACTAACGATGGATAAATTAATAGCTGGAGAACGGCAAACTCAACGGCTTTGAAGATAAAGATATCTCGACACTCCTGGCAAATGCTGGTGCTCTCATTCGATGATTCCTGTTAAGCCCAGCGTTCGCTCACTCTCACACTACCGGTATTCCGCAGATTAAAAATGAGAGTAATATTAATCGCATTTTCTCATAGTATGGTAACAGGCGTTGCGTTGGGATGGGCGGGGAGGTTGGGATTCTGGGGGGGGTTCCGGTCGTTATGGGCGCGGAATGGAATTGCCACTGCCGGTAGACGGGATGAGACCAGATGAGATGTGCGGTCACTGGGCAAAAGTTTTTGTGAAACAGTTTCTGTTTGACGAAGATTACAGTGGCCTAAGGAGGGAGGGGGGCATTGCGCAATTGAAGTCTGTGCGAGGTAGGGGCCGAGAGTTCTGTTTCACGAAGACATTTTGCCCGATGGCCGTAATACTAATGTTATGTTACTCTGACTGCCCTAGTGTATTTGTCTTTTTACTTTTGCATTTTATCATCTATCAAAATGCAGTACTGTACTTTATATTTTTTTTCTTTTCTTTTCTTTTCTCTTACCATCCCTTCACTTTCTCGCTACTACTAAGCTTTTTTATTCACCAAATGTAGACTGGTTTTTTCTTGTATCACCCAACTTCATGGACCGGATTATTATTATAATAGAGAAAGCTTTTACCTGCATTACTCATGTTACCCCACCCACATCGCCTTCTTGGGCTCGATGGATTGTCGGGGAGCTTCGACTTACAATACCCACCCCACTGATACACGAGCATGGTAGTTACTCCAACTTGGTATGACTACACCCTTCCCTTGGGGATGGGATGAGAGGAGGTACAGGCGCCGGTGAGGTGGGGTTATCATGTGGCATCATGGGTCAGCTTTGTGGTGCGGTTTCGTGCGATATGGATGGGTGGGGTTGGGGGGAGGTCAAGTGTCGCAGCTTCTCACTTTCGGGGGCAATTTGGGTGTGTTTGAGGTTTTTGTGAATCCGAGTGTTTTTCTTCTTTCCCTCTCTTTTTTCCCCCGAGTGACTAGTCGCTAGGGGGTGGAGTTTTAGCATGATATTGGGTATATGTATGTATGTATATATGTATGTATGTATGTATGTATGTATGTGGATGGATGGATGGATGGAATACCAGGTGGTGGTGCATGAGTTATCACTCGGATGGAAAATACTGTGTATGGGGGAATTTAGAAGACTAATTAACGTGATATCGTGGTGGCGAAAGGATCTGATTAATGTGGGTGATAATATCGGGGGAAGAGCAACGGGAAACGGGGAAAACTCTATGGGTGCGCCAAGTAAATGATTACATGCAACCGTGAAAATGCAGCATTTGAGATGAGCAAGGCGTGAAAAAGGGGAGAAAATAGGTGTTCAAACATAGTCCTCTCCCTCGAGATATGTATTTTGGCAAAGAAAGGAAAAGTGGGGAGAGATAATGGGAAAATAGGGGCTTCAGCTTTAATCGTCGGGATACTCGTCGCGGATGTTGGAGATAAACATTCTCTCCGCCCTGGAATACCTCTTGAAGTACCTTCCCGCCAGCCTCCTCAGGGGTTCGACCGGGTCAGTTTGGGAAACGACGATGTTCTCTTCTGCTACGTAGCGTACGCTACCGTCCATCACTCTGGTTTTTGTTATTTTTTCTTCTTATCAAAAGATTTATCTTTGGGGCGGGGTGGGAGGGGTGAGCATACAGCGCGAGGTAGAATGGTTGGTGCCGTCCTCTGCTCAAAGTGTCAACACCCATAGTCTGCATCCACTCCTCTCCCTCTTTTGGAGCGCACGTTCGTGACCAGCCAAACACAGCCCCTTGAAAAGGATATCGTTTATGCACGAAGACAGTTCCAACACGGTACTACCCGAATAAGACAGTTAGCAAATCGCGGATGCCCTGTGCAGATCCATGAGGGGATGATGCCTGGTTCGGAATGGCTTTCAGGCGGACACTGTAATGTACATTTCCAAGTGTTCACACCACCCCCAAAAGCTCCCCATTCCGAATCCTGGCATTTTTATTCCCAACAGGTCTGCGCTGTCAGCAGTGGTCGAGGACATACCTTAACGTCATTTTCATCAGAGTTTTTTCTTCGAGAAACGGGTCTTTGGGCCGAATCCTCTGCTCGTAGCTCCCCGCACATCTCTAGCAGGAGTTCTCGTGCATTCCGGTCCTCCAGTCTGGGGACTATGTCCTCCTCGAAAAACTGGACGTCCATGGAATACTCGTCCTTGATACGCCTTGCCATGTGCTGCACCACACTTAGTGTGATCCGCGGCCCCAATAAAGCTGACGCTGTTAAGGCTGCGTATAGTGCTGAATGACGGTCGATTTCGACGGCTTCCTGCTGGGTGTCGGGTGGCCCTGGAACACGTCTGAGGGACTCAAGTATGTTGCGCGAGGTGCGTAGAACAATGTCGGTGGTGGGCGACGGACGCAGGAATTCGTCCATTGTGGCTCCAACGCCCAACTCGTTCAACTGGTGTTCTAGGCCCTGGACAGGGAGCTCGCTGCCTTCCCCACGGAAAGGGTCTAGGTAAATGTAACTTCCGTCCTCGTCCCGCACTATCGCCAAGACATGATACGGAAAGCCGCATGGATAGGCGGCTAGACCTACCCGAGTCGCAAGACTACAGTATATTGCTGTTGCGGTTAGTGGAAGATTGGTGCGGTCTGTACGCAGGGAAACACCGATGAAGGCGTTCTTGAGGGCGCGGTAACTCCTGTACGAAGCCCCGCGAAATCCTTCCCGATTCATGTATGTGCACAGAGCGAGTGCTTTCGCTTTCGTCGACATGTCGGCAAAATTGGCGGCTTCGGACCTGAACCGGGCGGCTAGCTCGTCGAGCATGCCCGAGATATCGTCGATATCTCCTTCCGGTGTCTTTAGGATAAAAAGTTCAAAGCAGCCCAGGGCATATTCAAGAGAGATATCTTCCCCGGAAGCTAATTTCTTCCACCCTATAATGGCCTGTCTCCTATGAATATAATGGATGGCGGCGGCTGCATACCATCTGAAAATATGGGTTAGTATATCGATACGTTCCTCATCATCTCGGAGGGAAACCGAGCACAAAAGAAACAAAAGAAACACCAAAATTGAAGTCACCTCCGAGCTAGAACATCCTCGGCGTCATCGGGAGCATTTGCGTGTTCTGCCAAGCAATCCTTCGCATCGCAACCAAGGTCCGCGATTTTATTGAATTTGTTTATTCGATCTACAGGCGAGGAAATGATCTCATTCAACAACATTGTAGTGCGTCTGTACGAATAGATCCTCTCAACGAACAAAGACCTCCAATCCACCTCAGCTGGTAGAGGGTGTTTGGACTTTTTCTGGTACTCGTGCCGAGGCTCCCAGTAGCGAAAGCGTCGACATCTCGCCCGCCACGCTAATGGGGAATTTGAGAGGCGATAGAGTTTCTTGCAGACCAAGCTGATATCAAGTAGGGCGCTATCGTCGTCTGGGATAAATTTGAGGGTATTTTCGATGACCTCTTCGGGGAGAGATAGAAGGATGCTATCCTTTGTCATGACCGAAAAGCTTGTAATTGTCGCGGGCTATGTCGCGGTATGGTTTGTGGATGGCTGTATCGTGGGTTGGGAGGGGAGGAAGGAAGGGGTTGTGGTGGGGCGCTGGGTAGAGGGGAGCTTTGTTTCAATTGCTACACACCCGATGGACGGGGTGTTGTAATCGAGGGCTATGAGGGGAAGGTGAGGGATGGGGCGGCGGGTCGTTGCTGCGGTAGCGGGGTGGGATGATTGTGATGGGGTTTTTGGGAAAGGGAGAAAAATTGGAAAGAGGAGGCAGGCACGGGAAGAAGACTGGGGCGATGGTTGTGGTGGTTATGACGACGATGGCGATGATGATGATGTTGATGTGAGGGAAGAAGAGAAATGAGGTTCGCATGGGATAACCCGCGGAGGGGGGGGGGACAAATGGGGCGCTGGGGAAAGGATTGGGGCGTGCGGGCATGGAATGGGTGGGAGAGCAGTGGGGAGTGTGGAGATGGGGATGGAGGGGGAGAGAGGGAATCAGCTGTAAGAGCTGAAGCCGTCCGGCGAGAGCGGAGAGTGGGTGAAAAGGGAAAGGTGGGGAGAGAGATGGAAGAAGCGGTCAGCAGAGAAAGCAGAATCAGAGAAAAGTGTAATATGGTGGGGAATGTTACTTACTCTTCTATACGATACCTTTAAAGGGAACTTGTATCTCGTCCTTTGCCAATAGTTGACCCAGTCGTATAAGTTAGGTTTCTATTATTATTCTCACACGGTTTTTTTGTGGAATACTGTGTCTGCACTGATCCTTTTTTTTCCTCTTCCCCTTTTTCTTTTCTTTCTCCCCTTTCCCTAAGATTCTATGGATGGACGGGTGGAGTTGTAGGGAGTAAGTTTTAATCCTCATGCCTCACAATTACTGCACCACCCGTGCTGTGGTTGTACTGGTATTATACGAGTACATCACTTTGTGAATCTGCCTTGTCGGAGAGGGGGAGGGGTTTATTCCGTCCCCCGCATCAGCCCTCTCGTCATTTTCCATCCATCTTCCATGGTGGAAGGAACGAGCTGTCGATACATGGACATGCTCTACCATACAGCCAGGCCTAGGGTCGTCCGTCTCCCGGGTTGTGGGCCATGTGTGGTGAAGGTGATTTTGGTGCCCGCACCATGCTTGGGTGGGTTACGGAGCAAAGAATGAGCGGCTGCTAGACCCTTTGATGTGTGGTTTCACGGTGCGTGGCTAGACAGGCGGCTGCGCGACCTCACCACCATTAGATGGATTCGAGTGCCGTAACTTGTATGATATGTGGTGGGTGGGTGGGTGCGCAGTGCACTCGAGTACTTGTACCGGTGCTCGACATGAACTTTGCGTGTCTCTGTTAGAAGAAGCATCGGTGTTGCAGCGCATGATGCTGTATCGCTATCATACAAGTACAAGCACTGGTAATGCACTCGTGCGCATGGTATGGACTAATTGAAATCGACGCACCTCCCCCAGGAACCGTAAACACTCCTTCATTGATTGTCAACCATTCCTCCGATTGATCGCCCCTACCGTTATTATCCATCTCTCTGATGGCCTTAGGTCCCCTTCCGTGCATGTGCTCGAATTGCATGTGCCGGTACAAGTACGAGCACTTTCGGGTGAATTAAGTTGCCAGCCTTCTACCGGTATTCGAGTTTGATACATGGGCCTGTGCGGGTAGACTGTGATGGACTGGATATCACAACATGTGTGATGATGATGGTGATAATGATACGGTAAGCTACAGTATCTTTCCCCCCCTCCTTCAGCCCCCATCCACTCGCTTGGATTTTTATAGTGGCTTGGCGCACCTGCTGAGCAGGTTTGCTTCCGAGCTGCGAGTGGGCCATCTGGCTTCTGATGGCAAGACCCCCCCCCCCAAAAGCATATCGTTCTCGTACGGTACTGTAGTCAGGTAGTCTAACGCCGACGACACCGACGACATTTGGTGCTATCGGTACCTATCTCCGAAAGAGCCCCCCCTCTTTCTCGCACCCTGCTCTAACCACCGCTACCCTTTCGGAATATCCCCCTTCTCTCCGTGCCCTCGCGGTACCGTATCATACTCCACTGCCTCCATCCGGGTTCTATCATTGCCTCATCCACAAACACACGCAAACAGGAGTCCACAGCTCATCCTTCGTTCCAATTCTACGGTAGCTCAATCTCTGGATCGGATACTGGTAGGCGTGACCCTGAGGCTGAGAGAGGCTTCTAATACCGGCACCTACCGTATGCTACACTGCATGTTTACAGCGGTTGGCATGTGGGGAAAACTGTGAACTATTACAGGCACCTGTTATTGGCGTAGTGTGTGATGCTTATTAACTTGTGATTCTACAGACTACCGGTACTCGTAGACCTCGATTGCCATTTTTGCCCACGACGGTAGCTTGCTGTAAGCTGGTGCGGCGACTCTACGTATCTACCCTTTTTCCATTTTTTTTGTTTTCCCGATTTTTCGATTATTCCATCACCCCCTGCACTTTCGATCCCTTTCCCCCCCCCCCACCTTCCCGTACTCCGCGGATGTTGTGGTTTAACACGCCTGCGTCGGCACTTCTGGGTCGGCATGTGGTTGTCTCCAACTGCCACCACCCCATTGCTCGAGTGCTCTTGCCCTTGCTCATACGAACAATGGGGATTTGAGCAAACTGACTGAAAAAAAACGCCTCCAAGTTACCCCAATACCTCGGAAAAACCCAGTTCCGCTGTTGGCACTCCCCCCGAAAGTTAGTTCTCACTTCTTGCCGTGTTGGTCACCTTCGATAACGCTATATTCATCACCACCATCATCGACTCCCCCCCCCCCGCCTAATCGAGCCATGGGTCGCGGGAAGTCTGTGGCGCTCAAGGTGCGCAAGGACGACAGCCCCGCCGGTGCTTCGTTAGGTGCTAAGTTGTGCGGGGGCACCATACCCGATACTCCACGCTATACCTTGTCGGAAGAGAAATCTGACCCTGGCGACGTGCACCCGAAGAAGAAGAAGAAGAAGATGAGAAGGCACGAAAAGACCAGCCCAATCCCTTCCCCGGTCGGTGCGGAGGAGGGATCTTTGGAGGATGTCTCCACTGCTGCTGCTGTCGCTGCGGGTCCAAAGGCAAGGGCTCATGTAGCTATCTCGTCCGCTAGCGCTGTATGTCCGAGGAAGAGGGACCAAACGGGTGTTGTGGTCACTGCTTCTGAGGGTCCGGAGAGAAAGCGTGTGGCTTTAAAGGAAAAAAATCCCAACCCTAGCTCAAGCGACGTTCATTCCATCGATCTTCACCGATCTTTTCCACACAAGTCGGAACCGAAGCGAAATGCGAGGGGGGGCAATTTGAAGGACGATGTCATTGCAGCTCCGCAATCCGGTGAGCCCTTGCCCCATATTTCTCCCCTATCGGTCTTCGGGGCTCTTCCAATTCCTTGGGCTGATTCAGATACAAATTAGCCTCGGCGGTTGATAAAGGGACATCCCTGCTGCAGGAGTCCTTCGCCGTTGGTGGCCCAGTCTATCGGGCTTTGAAAGGGTTGTTGCCGCAAAAGGACTTTCGTGAGCTCGTCGAACTCGTTGAGGAAGATGCCGCACAAGCGGTTGCAGATCTGGTTACTAAAAAGAGTTGTCACTCCCGCCTTGTATAACGTTGAACTTGACTGAAATATTTTGCTACAGACTGCTGGTCTCCGGAACTTCTCGATTCATTCCGCGGTTCCGAGCTTAGATTTCTCGATCTGTCAAGCCCGTCATCGCCTCCTTCAGAAATACCCATTCCAAACAAGCCTCCTGCCCTCATACTTGGGAGTCTCTACCAGCAGGATCAATTTGCCGCCCTTACCACACTTTCCCTGAGAAATACACAACTTTCAAATAATGATTTGGGTTTGCTCGTGTTACTCACATCTCTGGTAGATCTTGATATTTCGAATACGGGGTTAGGGGTACATTCGCTCCACCACATCGTCTGCCACCATAAAACCTTGGCTCAATTGAATTTGTCCCACAACCAGGGCATGGATGATGATTGCCGAGTACCGCTCGCTGCGTTGCCCAAACTCGCTAGAATCTATCTCAGGGGGACAAACATTTCGATGCCCGGGTTGCGGCGACTGGTCACCGGAGCGCTTCCGGGTAACTGTCGGTTGCTCTCACTTCCGAACCACTGCATTACCTATCTCAATAACCGTGAATCACATTATTCCATGGACATACCGGATCCATATGCTCACGACCCGAGGAAGCTGGAGAACATGAACCTACCGGAATTAAAGAGAAACCTCGAGCTGCATGCAAGAGCGAATAGCGAGATACTCCTAACCGGCTCAAAAAGCGAACTTTTCTACCGGTTAAACAACATTCTGCAGAGCAGGATAGCCGATGCGAAAATCATTAAGGTGTTGGGTAGGGAAGAACGACAAGTTTGAAGCAGAGCAAAAGGAATTCTTTTTTTTTGGCCGCTGCCGGTTTTATTCGTCTTCTCCTCCCAGTTGGTTCGCTTTTTTTTTTTCTTTTCCTTTTTTAGTAGGGACCGTCGCTCTATTGTCGTACGGAAGTGTATGCTCTGAGCACAATATGCGAGTGATTTGTCATGATAGTCTTGTTGGGGAGGCTCTCACTCCGATATCGATACCCGGGAGTTGGTCTAGTGCAAGGGTTTGTAGATAGATTGCGAAAATTGAGTGAATGCCGAAATATCAGTTCTTTATTTTGTGTGCATACCGGTGGCTTGCTATTTCCCTTTTTGCTTTTTCCGAGTGGGAGGGAGCTACTCGAGTACAGTACGGTACCGTATCAGGGGGAAAAGAATGGGAGGACGAGATAAAGTGCGAACCAAGATACAGTACTATAGCTTAGCTTATCGATACCTACTCGAGTACCGGTATCGGGGACAACCCCCCTTCCTTCCCCGCGAGTTGGGGGTTTTCTCTCCACTCGAGTACGGATAGTAATTTACGAGCATCATACTCGTATCATACACGCTTGTTTTCTCGCTGCTGCTACGTTTTGACTGACACGACCGGTACCCGTAGAGGATAGTTATTGTACGAGTACGGTACGGGTACAGTACTCGAGTACAGTACTAGTGTATTGGATTAATTCCTCTAAGCGCTTTTCCTTCGATGATCTTTTTTTTTCTTCTTTCTTTCTTCTGCACTCGCTATCTGTGCAGGGCACGCGGATCATGACATGGTTGATGCGGCATTAAGCTTACTCATTGGACCTACCGGTACTCGTACAGTACGCTCGAGATCGTCGAGTACTGTAACTTGCCGTCCAGTCCGCATCTCTAGCCTTGTGCACGGTGCGTGAGTGGGTGGGTGCATGTGTGTGTGTGTGGGTGCGATTTAGCCTATGACATGAGCGCCACACCGCACCGCACGTCGACTGACCGACCGGCGGTTCGGGAACATGTCCGTCATCGTATGGCGCGGTGCTTTGCGGTAGGTTTCGGAGACATGATGGCTTTGGTTGAGTTCTGGAATATTCTGCAGTATTCTGCCAGCGGTGGAGTGGAGGGTTGGGGGATCGGGGAAGGGTGTACTTGTACGAGTACTTCTGTGCACATTTTTTTCCTTTTTTTCTTTTTCGGCGGTGAGGGTACCGGTATTGATCTGTATCTATTGCTCCTGGCGAGAGGGACGGACGGGCGGGGATATCGGCGGCTGGGTGTGGCGGTGGGGGGGGGGATCAGGATAATCGCCGATGGAGGTGGTGGTTGTTCTGTGTATGGTATTTGAGGGTGTTTTGTTTGGTGGACCACGGTGCCCGGACAGGTGCGGTTGTACGAGCACTCTGCTCTGGAGGTGTGGGACGAAAGTGCGGTTGGGCACGGCAGTCTATCGTACGGTACGGTGGTCAAGTCACTGGATTAAACATGTGCGTCTCTTGGTGGTGGGGCGCTAAGAAAAGCGTGATTCCTGTCCTGTCGGGCTATTTTAATGTTGTAGTGTGCGTTAGTAGGCTGGTTAGGTAGTGTTACCGACTTGATATGGGAGGTTACAGCAGTGCGAACGCAATGGTTGGGTCCGTGGGGACCGGGGGTGGAAGATGGGGGGGGGGGGGGGGGGAGATAATGTATCACGGTGTGCGGTGGTCTACCTCTCTGGGGTGGGTAGATGATCAGTGAACAGTGCTAATCATCAGAGTTACCTTCTCTCTCTCTTTAGGCATGGTGGGGGCGGTGTGGGAGGCGGTAGTGCAAGGTAGCGATTTCGTAAGTAAATTATAAAAGGTTCCAGTGGTATTCTACCCTCTGCGAGAGTGGAAGTCTTTTGTTGGCGAGATGCTGGTACCTGTATACCTGACATTGCCATACTGTACTGTACTGTACGGGTGCCATATTTTATTAGGGTGTGTAGTTACACTTGTACCGTACATGATACATACAAGTACCTCCACCTTATTTCTCCTCCTTCGACTCACTTGCTCCCCCGCCCATCCTCCACCCCCCCCAGACCCAATTGCTCGATAAACCAACTATCCTCACAACCCTCACCATCGATGCCAACTCCCCCTTTCTAATCTACTAGGGAGCAAGGAAAAAAACAATGATTTCCACAAAAATTCCTCCACACCCGGGTCCAGCCAGCGGGCCTTGAAATCGTAAACGCCGTGAATAGATTGGCTAAGGGCGGGAGGCACCGCACTCCCACAGTATGGACGGAGGGAGCCGGATGTAGTTGGATGTGATCGGAGAGGATGCGAGAGCCTAAGGACGGGTGAGCTACAATACGGCACCGAACGGTGATACGGCAGGCCAAGTTTAAGACATTTTCTTGTGCGATGGGGAAGATAGGCAGGGCCTCAGTGCCGACGGGTTAGGCAGGGCGGTATAGGTACGGCACTGGCACATCAATACCATGGTCCAAGAAAGGGAGTGGATGGACAGAGGGGGGGAGGGGTGAATCAAAACCGGCGCTGCGGCCCGGTACTTGAACAAATTCACTTTACCCCACCCCCCCTCCTTCCCAGCTGAGGGGCATCATGAATCCATAGGACCTCCAACCAGATTGTGTCTGTGAAAAACTGCACTTTTCTGATCAAATCAAATCGCACCCTTCCTCACCTGCATGGAACAGTATCGATATTGTGAGAGCTTACTGTGATTACTATGCTGAGCTGTACGAGCGCCAGAGCGGAAGGCAACCTTCCCATTCGGTACGGTACAGTACAGTAGTAATCTAGTGAACTAAATTCCCACTCGTATCATATCAGAAATGGAGTCAATATCCCATCGCTCTAGCACTCGTAGTCATTCCAGAAACCGCAGACGGGACGAAATGTTTAAGCTTGAAGCTCCCTGTTTATTGGCCAACTGACTGGTTCGTTGGAGGGATTTCGGAGTTCTATTATAGGTATAGTTTAGACAGCGGAATAACTTAATAAGCATTAAAATACGCTACTGTGAATCTCCACCTCTCATCACAACCATGTGGGAGTGCTTGATATGAGAATATCACCCAGACATGATAGCTGCAAGTTTTGAAATGCGGGAACCTTTGGTTGAACAAGGTGGCTCAACTGGTGTGCATGCCTACTTTATTTTTATGTATCTTTTCATTGCTCAAGTATGATTGGGGTTGATTATATAACAAAGATGGTTGATCGTTTGTTGTGGGTTAACAAATCCGTGAACTCTACTACTACTTGTACAAGCGTACGCCATCTTTTAAGTGAGACCTAATCTCCAACCTATGACTGGTTATAATACTATCGCAACGAGCTAGAACCAAGCCAACTGAGTTACTCTCTCCGAAATCCCTCCGTTGATTGATTGAGTGGCCGAAAGATATATCATAGCAGCAAGTGTATCAAGCCTAGTGATAAGTTAACCAAATAAAATGGACCAGACTAGACAAGGGACCCTATCGATACGGCGCCGCAGCCACGCCCAGCCCATCCCAGCCCAGTCTGCCGTAATTTATTCATCCAAGGAAGATTATCAGAGTCGTTGGTTTACTCTCTCTTTCTGGTAGGTTACCCCTGGCTTTTCGTACAGCAGTGGGAGGACAGCAGGGTTCCTACGGTACTGTACCCGCACCTCAGAGAAAGGTGGGGGGTTAAGATAGACTAGCTTATTGTATTACCGTGCGTACGATCAACGGCATGAATGAATATCTTCCCGACCTTGCCATCGTGCACCGCGCTGTCCCTCCTTCCCTACCTAAAACAACGCTGCACAATAGAGTACACTAACTCTTATCAAACCCGGTGGAGAATTCTTAGGATCCCTTGGCAGCGAGCGTTGAAAGCCGCAGGGGTAATATATGCGCTGGTTAGTTTGACGTGATTACTGGATATCATTCGTGGTGGCTTGCATGTTAGTCGTCGAACTGGACTTTTGAAAGCTGTGGTCGTTGCTGTGAATTTTCAGTTACCCTAGGTATCCCCTCGTTTGTGACCGGATTCCACCGCCTTTTAGTGAGTATTTTGTCTCCTTCGGTATTCGGAAACGGTGTGCCGGGAGGTGTGGGTTTTTGGTCACTTCAGTGGTGGCCTGGCCGAAGGGATTCATGATATTACCTCGGGGGGTTAACGTGGGCGGTCTTTTCCTCTCTTCAAGTGGTGATATAATACTATCGGCATATTCAGCTCGAGCGCCAGGTCCTGAATACTGGTACTACAGGAGGGATAAATAAGTATTGGGCCTCTCTAATGTGGTGTTGTCCTGTTCACTCGCATTTGGCTTAAAGGGGGGGGGGTTTCTTCATATTACCAATCTGTAATTGTTTTGGTCTATCAATTAGACTACACACTGTTCCCTATCTCAGCTCTGAGCGGTACATGGAGGGAGTACTGTGCATACCCCACACCGTATGGTTTGGGTTTTCTGCATGCAAGCTGGAGCCCGGACTGCACTGCACTACACACTGCTGCCAGAGAGGAGGGAATAGTATGATACTACGATTGCGGTTTCGTTTCTAAGCGCGGGTTCCGTTCCAGGCGTGATACAACCTAATCGAAGTACGTAACCCCATTGCCATCACTAATATAATACCTATCGTGAATACCGGTTTAACATATCCTTGCACAAGTAGAATACTGTGCAGCCAAATAAACGAAACGAATCAAAACAGGAAGAAAACTGACAATTTTAAGCTTAAGCCCCCACCCTACCCTTCTCTACCCTACTTTGACCTCCCGGGATTGCGCAGGTAGCACAGGTCAGGGAACGGAAGCTGCGGCGGACCAAGCCGTGCGACAAGAAACACTCGGGTTCCTATCCATTAGACTACCGTACCCTACTTCAATCAACGTTCAATGCACATAACTGCTTGTGCCCGGAAAGAAGAAGAAAAGAAAAAAAACAGGTTTTTTTCCAAGAGGAAGGAAGGAAGGGAGGATGAAGATGAATAAGGGCGGGAAGATGATTGGTCACACCCTTAAACTCGATGGTACTCTGGGCATGTTTGGTGTTGTCAGGTGCGATTCTATCGGACGAT